TAGCTCATGTCACGCCCTGAAATAATTCAACATGAACTACCCACATTAATTAACAATCACTCATCAGTCACAATAATCTTTCCATCTTTACATAGTTAATAAGTGAGTGTATACAAAAGTTTCACATGCGGATATACATTCAATGATAAAAGAACATATGAATCTATAGAATGTGAAGCATCTAGTCTCAAAACAATAAAATGCCCTTAAGGGCTTACATCTTCCAAGGCAATAGCCCGGTTACACAAAATAGTCTCTCAGATCCATACCCATTTAGCCCTTGGCTTTACAAAATTTACAACAAAAATAAAAGAGCTATTTACTCTTCACAAAAATATCCACGCCCTCAGTTCAGCTGGAGCACCACATCTTTACCTGCACCAAATCCCCATAGGGGTGAGCATAAAGCCTAGTAGAGAATTCTCATAAAGTATATACAGTTATGTAATTCTCAATGCGAATGTAAATGCCAATGCCATGCAATGCCCTTTTTAAAGAAAATTTCATTTCATGCTCTTCTCAATGATCATCATGTTTCAATGAAAGGTTGCAATTCAACAATTTCTGAAACTCCAAATTTTAAAATCAATAGGGGCGGTAAATACAACACTGGTTTTACCCTAGGCTGGTGTCTGCAAGTAGACTCTACAAGTACTACCAAATTGTCATTTTTACCGGTATTAACCGGAAGGCTCGACACCTATCCGCGTGGTTTTCTGGTCTTTCACCATAAACACTCAGGCCAACTTATCAAGAGTAACTACACCCCCTATCCGGACTTACCACGTATTTACCCGATACCACATTTCCATAATTCTTATTACAACGTCATTTTCTTTTATGAAATAAATATCTTAAATCGGAAATGTACAATGCATAGCAATAAATTGAATGAATATGCAATGCCATGATCTTCCCATATCTCATAACACTTCTTCATTTACACATGTCTCCATAATAATGTCAACAATCACAATTCCCATTTCCTTTCTTCATTGTTCTTTCACAAGAAGACCATGTGTCATCAACACATAGTTACAATTTTACATTCACATGCCTTAACAATCTAGTCTCTTCAAGACCACAAGTAGTTTTTTTTTCAAACATTAATTCCCCATGTAATAATTCTCACAATTTCAAATGCACAACAATTTGCCATCTCATAACCATGTATCATCATATCTTTAACCATAGTTTCTAAAATAAGTTTTCCATTTCCATATACCAAAAGCTTTCCATCTTTGCAACCATATTATGGAATCTACACACATCCATCTTTTTATCAAAAGAAAGGAAAGAATTCCATGGACGTTTCTATGCTTTCCAAAAATTCCCAAATTCTAGGGTTTGCATCAAAAACCAACATTTTCCCCATTTCTTGGTGAAATCTTACCAAATCATCCTTTTTATGTTTAAATGAAAGGAAAACCCCTTAGGATTAACGTAGGGTTGAGATTTAAAACCCACATTTAAGACTCTGTACATTTTGCTCAAAAATAGAAATCTGACATGAGAATCACTAGAAGACTCACAAATCAACACTTATATGGCACAACATGATATATAACTCAAGAAAACCCTATCTCAAGCCTTGATAAAGAAAATAGATGAAACCCTAGCCTCAAAGGAGGATTCTTCAACTTCCACTACACCAAGAAGAGCCCAGGCTTGATCTTCAAGATTAGAGGAAGATGAGGATGATCTAGGCCCAAAGGATAGCAAGAATCAAAGTGTTTTAGGGCTTTTGTGAGAGTTTCTAGAGAGAAGGAGGAAAGAAATGAGGTTTAGAGTGAGAGAAAAATGCTCAAAATGTGATACAACTTCGGCCAAAAAGGTAAAAAAAAATAGATATTTGGATGTCCAGAGTGCCGCACGTGCGGCACCCAACCCTGCACATGTGGAGCGCCCTTTCCCACACGTACGGCTCTTACCCCTGCACGTGCGGTGGTCTTCTCACACCACTCCCCGCTCGTGCCCTTTAAGCAGAATGTAACTTCCCCAACTCGCCCATTTCCACGCGTGCAGCCTCATCACCCGCACGTGTGGCCTCTATCCCACACGTGCGTCCCTGGTCCAGCAGCCCAGAAATTTCTGGTTCACCATCTAGGCACTTCGAACCCAACCGTGCACGCCCCAGAACGGGTGAAATTCAACACCGAACAAAAGTAGAATGAGAACTTTATTTAGAGAACTATTTCTAGACTTTTCAAATCCAACAGAAGTAAAAGAAGAACGGAGCAAAGAAGGAAAGAAAAAGAAATAAAACAACGACCTAGTCGCCATAGCTCAAAGGAGTGGTAAACTTGATTCACAAGCCATCAATCGATGCAATTTCATTACATGATGCCTGTAGACACACCATTTTTGACCGTCCTCAAGACTTGGATGTCATCGTTTGAACACTCGATGATCATCGATGTTCATGTTCGTTTTGAGTTTTCGGAGGTCTCGGTCGCGTGCCTTGCCTCAAGATCTCTCAACTTGTCTGTTTTGTGCTTGGTTGTGGACCAAGCACTTGTGTTTTTGCTTCTAAGGGAAGAGGGTGGCTTGTTGGCCATCCCCTCAACCCATCGGCCAAGGCATGAAGCCATCAGCCTTGTTTTCTTGCCATCGGCCAAAAATGTTTGACGATTGGCACTCTTTTTAGTCGATCGGCCCTTGTGTTGGTCGATCGGCCATGTTTTCTGGCCGAGCCCTATGCATCTGTTTTATGCAGATATTTTATGCCAGCTGTCACAACTGGCATGCACAATTCACATCCTCCTTACACGTGTATGGAGGGATTTGCACCTTGTCTTAGCTTGCTTAGGAAGCTTTGGATTTGGAATTCTGTAAGAAGGAAGTTCCTCATCCCTTCTCAGAGGTTTAGAAAGTTGAGAGAAGAAAATATATATCACTCTCTCTATATCTCCCTCTCTCTATATTTGTGTGTGTATTTGTGCTCAAAAGTGTAGTTTGTTCATACTTTTGCACTAGAGCACCTAGTAGGACACCATCCTTTGGTTGCTGAGGCCCTTAGGAGTTATTTTTAGTGTTTTTGAGCTGGTTTTGGTCAGAGGAGGCTGCTGGAGTTGTGTTCTTGAAGGTCATCTTCAAGGGTGAGCTTTTTTTTCTTTTAAACCCCCATTCTTGCTTAAGCTTTTAGACCTACTTACTTATTGTTTTCAGCTTAACTCTTATTGTTTTCAGCTTAACTCTTAACTGATAAAAGTTCTAATTTTTGATGCTTTAGATCTTTGTTTAAGATCACTTTTTGGTTTGGGGTTGTTTACCCCCTCTTAAGCCTTGTTAGGCCTTGTTTGGAGCCATCCATTTTGGCCTTTGTTATTGTCTTTGCATGACGTTTCTACCACCAAAATCCAGAGGATTTTCATTGGTGTAAAGGTAGTTTTGAGGTCTCAAATAGGAGAGGGTCATCCCCTCTCCTTGTTGTCTTGCATGCTAGTATAAATGGCTTATATTGGTAGCATGTTTGCTTCGCTTGTTTTAGCTTCATTTCAGTATGTATTAGGCTTTGTTTTGCCATGATACAACATTTTTTTGCTTGGTTTTGTCACTCCATGCATGCCTAATACACTTGTAGTGTAAATCACACAAACTAGTCTTATATGCTTCATGAAGTAGCATGTTATTCTAGCCTATGTTGTGTCCATTTCAGCATGTTCTTGGGCTTGTTTTACCATGTCATACCTCAATTAGGGTTTGGTTTAATAGCTCCTTGCATGCCCCATGTACTTGTAGTGAATTTCCATGAAATAGCCTAACATGCATCATGCTTTGACATGTCATTTTAGCATGTTTTTAGCTTAACTTTGAGAAGACTTTGTTCATGTTTCAGCATGTTTAAGGTCTGATTTGTGTTGTTTTAGTCATATATGACTTGCTTTGTATGGCCATGGTTCAATCTAGCTTGTTGGCTTTGAGTATTAAGTCCTCTAGCATGCATTACTTGGCTCATTTCAATGATTTGGCATCATTTGTTATGATATTTCAGTCCATGTTTCATGCTCATACACTTGCACTTATCACTCCTTTAATGCTTTAAAGAGTTGATGTCTTATGCCTCATGAATGGACCATTGTGTATGCCTCCATGCTTAGGTCTTTGGGATGCCATCTAAGTGGGTTTTTGGGCTTACTTTGGCATGCCATAACTCTATTTTTCATTGGATAATTCATGCCATGTTTGGTTGTACTAGGTGTAGCGTAACACCCCTTTTGTATCCTTGCACGCCTCATGCTTTTGGTGTTGTGGTCTAGCTTGTGTTGGCTAGTTTCGAGCATGTTTTTGGTCTTGTCTTGACCTGCCTTGGGACTATTTTGAGTGCCCTTGGCCCTTTGGGGCTTGCCTTGCATGGCCATGATTTGAGTCTCTTGGCTAGCCTTAAGCTTTGGGCTCACCTGTATGCTTTGCTTGCTTTGTTTGGTTGGTTTGAACCCTTTCCATGCATGATTTCAGAGCTTACTATGTTTGTCACATGTCCATATTCGTCCCCTTTTAAGTGCTCTTGAAAGTCACCCTCCTATGCCTAGGTGTTGGACCTTTTACATGTGCATGTTTGTTTTGCATTTCATGTCATCAATTCATAACTTTGGCCATTGATTTTGGCATGGCTGAGGCCTACCCATTTTCAGGATAAGTCCATGGCTCATGCGGTTTGTGTGTTGTGGCATGCTTGTCCATCCTTGCATATTGTTATACTAGCGTGTACCCGTGCCTAAAGGCACGGTGTAAATAATGTTAGGATTAGAATATAATTGTAATCCCAATACTATTTAATAAATTATCAATTATTAATTTAATATAATTGTAATCCCAACCCTTCTTGTCTTAAAAATAAATTATCAATTATAGAGATGAAATTATGCCTTCAACCTGAAAATTCCTGTTTCTATACCAAGAAAATGGCATAAACAATCAACCATTGTTGAGCTTTGGTCACCCACCATGAAACAAACTCAACAACATTTATCTAAATTCACAGAATTGAGCGCACTGGACCCATAATGAATTGGCAAATTCAGCCTTGTTCACAAAACATTGGTTGGCAAATTCTTGCAAGGTGAAACGACGCCACAACGGAACACCATGTTCCCTATACTGCATTGCATTATACATGTCTGTTTACATCATTCTCTATCGTGGACTTCCTAATATATCCAACCAATTATTGAAAACCTATCCATCACATGGAGGGGTCTAAAAGAAAGTATGAAAAGCTGAAATCAAAATAATTGCATGGTCTTCAAAGCTGACACATTTCTGGGGTTTGGGCTGGAGTTTTATCTTCTATGGATATGAAGTTGGCTTCAAATCATTCTATTTATGAGAGTTGAAGATGAATGACTGAAGCATTGAAATTACGATCAAGTCGTATAAGCTGACAAAGAACATAAATACATATGGTTAGAGATTTTGAAAACATAGGTAGTGGAGCAATGGAACTACAGTAGCAAGTCAGCAACCTGAAGGTGGTAAAATGAGGAAAGGAATTTGTGAGCAATGTATACAATAGTGTTGTTGTTCATGGTATGTATGACTTTATATCATATGGCTCCTAACATATTGAAATCTGTTGCTGATATTGAATAGTATATTGTGACACTAAATAATTGGTTGAGAAGAAAGAAATAAGTAACCTATGAAAATTGATCTCTAATTCATCTAGTTTCTTACCTGAGGCAAGATAATATCGTCTTGGGTGAGTGCAGCAGCTGATACAATGTTGATAGCATCTTCTCCATATGAGGTGCAATAGAAGGACATTCTTCCTTGCCTTTGTGCTTCGTAGAAGATGTTGTCCATAGTTTGAAGGGTAACCATACTACTATACATCTTCAATGCATCACCTTGCTCACCTAATGAATGTGATAGCTGAAAAATTAACAAAAGACAATGTGCTTGCATGCAATCTAAATAATCAAATTAACTAAAGCTGAATTGTATAATTCTAAAATTTTCAACCCTTAAAGTTGTAGAGGGATTTATGGAGAGAAAGGGAAGGGATTTTTGGGGGTAAAAAAAGAGAGCTTAAATCACTTTTTCCCTCCCCTTTCCTTTTCCCACCACAAATCTAAAATCCAAAAACAGCCTAAAGAGAAACTTATAAAATATTGCAAACTTGGATTATAGACTGGGTTTCATCAGGTTTTAAGTTATTTCAGGAAAGTAAAATGTACACAATGGCTAGAAAATCATGAAAAATACAACATATATTGTGCATAGTTCTAATAATATGGAGTTGGCAAAAAAATAACATATATTGTGCATAGTTCCACATATATTGTTCTAGATACAGAACACAGACCTATATTTTTATGTAAATATTTTATGTAAAATAACATATATTTCCACATATATTGTGTATCGCAAAAAAATAACAACAGAACACAGACCCAGAAGAATAATATTGGTAGTTGGATGATTCCCATTATCCAAAAGCAAGTTAAAAAATTATTGGGATGATTCTCATTTCTCCACAAAATCAAACTGAAAACAAAAATATGAGAGAAGATACCATCAACTGGATTTCTTGTGTGTAAATTCCATTGAAACATTTTATCAAACACTTAATAAGTAAGGAATATAGAATGGTTATCGAACATTTTGGTAACAACCATTCAATAGAGTAACTCAAAAACCACTCTCCCTTATTATATGTGTGTATAAAAGCGCACCCAAAATTAAAGTGAACCCAAAATTAACAAAACCCATAAAAGTGCACCCAAAATTAAAGAAAAACAATACTCACAGAAAAAAAAAACAAAGAAAAAAATCAGTAAAAGATAACACAAAGAAAAACCTAAACAACAATAGTATACTGTTGTTGTCATTTGGTTGATGTTGAAGAACCCTAACTAAGCCTTTTCTTCTTACCAAGCTCAACTGAAGTATGAGAATCCAAAGTAATAAAACTCTAACCAATATCCATGGCATGAATCAAAACAAATACTTGCATCTTGCAGCTGGCATTTGATTAATATAAGAAAATAAATAAATAAATAAATCTCCAAGAATTTTAATTTTTGTGCTTTTTGAAAAAATTGCAATAAACTGGAAAAAATTGAAACAATTGGAAGATTAAATAAATGCAATTTGAAGATCAATAATTGAAGATTAATAAAATAATTGAAATGTAATGCAATTTGAAGATTAATTTTAAAAACATAGTAAAATTACATTTTTACCGGCCACCCCTCACCCACCCTTCCCAGTTGCTGGCCACTCCTCCACCCTCCCCAACCCCCTCCCTCAACCCTTGCTTCCCAGACACCCCCCAACCCTCCGCCCCTCCCCACCCTAGCAGCTGGGAAGGGGAAGGGGGGAGGAAGAAAGAGAATAGGGCAAAAGTTAGGGGAAAACTGTAAAATTTCTAAGATTAATTTTTAAGTTTACACCTCTATTGCAATTATTTTTTATACTCAATATTTTTGCAATTATTCTACCTCATCCCATGTTTTTGTAGTTTAGCATTTCTATTTTTCAGGGTTGGGGATAATTGTTTTGCAGCTCTGTTTCACTACACTTAATGCCAAGTAAAAACTGCACTTGAGTCAGCCAGATGCTGGCGGCTCTCCAAATTCACTGCAGCAATCAAAAGGAAACAGTAGATACATACAAAAGCAACTGTTTCATCTTAAAATTTTGGAGTTATATATACACACAAAGAAAACATTACCCATTATATATACACACAAAGAAAACATTACCCATTATATATACACACAAAGAAAACATTACCCATTATATATACACACAAAGAAAACATTACCCATTATATATACACACAAAGAAAACATTACCCATTATATATACACACAAAGAAAACATTACCCATAAAAGTGCAACCACACTTGATGATCTCTTGGCTTCAAACAAAAAAAAAAAACAAAAAAAAATCTGTAATCAATATATATACACACAAAGAAAACCTTACAAAAAATCGGTTTCATGAGGAATGAACAAAAAGATTTGCTGGCACTTTGAGCAAATAGCTAATCACAAATACAGAGCACTTTGAGCCCTCCAAGTTCAACAAAAGAAAATGAGTTCACTAACTGAGAGTCTAAGCCTTCTACTTTGCTGGCAACAAATAGTGGTTTTTTGAATTCATATGTATTTATGAAGTTTATCTTTCTATCATTATTTTCTCTCCTACCAAACAGAGAATCGCATAGCAAGAGTAGATATCTAGTAACCAAAAATCTTTCTTGATAAAACAAAAACAAACTAGAGAATAATAGAAAATACCCATAATCTAAATGATAGTTAAAACGCCAAAAATCATCAAATTTGGGCCAAAATGAATTATATATATATATTTATAAAAAAAATTGAAAAAAAAAAAAAAATTCTATATAAGAACAGTATATACATCAATCAATACACATGTAAAACTGAATCAAACTAACCTTCAATTTATGAATTTCTTCTACAGGTATGCAAAAGAGACGAATAAAAAAACAAAGGAATTAGAGAAAAATTAACCTTGAATTGAACTTTTGGAATCGATTTAGTCAAACTTTGAACTGAGCTTCTGGAATCGATTCGAATTAAAGCCCTAGAAGGAAGAGAACTAACCTTTTTTGCTTAGGTTCGAAAAAATGGGGGGAGGAGGGATGAACATACAAATTGCAATACACACAAAGAAAACATTACCCATAAAAGTGCAACCAACTGCACTTGATGATCTCTTGGCTTCAAAAAAAAAAAAAAAATGTAATCAATATATATACACACAAAGAAAACCTTACAAACAATCGGTTTCATGAGGAATGAACAAAAAGATTTGCTGGCACTTTGAGCAAATAGCTAATCACAAATACAGAGCACTTTGAGCCCTCCAAGTTCAACAAAAGAAAATGAGTTCACTAACTGAGAGTCTAAGCCTTCTACTTTGCTGGCAACAAATATAGGTTTTTTGAATTCATATGTATTTATGAAGTTTATCTTTCTATCATTATTTTCTCTCCTACCAAACAAAGAATCGCATAGCAAGAGCAGATATCTAGTAAAAAAAATCTTTCTTGATAAAATAAAAACAAACTAGAGAATAATAGAAAATACCCATAATCTAAATGATAGTTAAAACGCCAAAAATCATCAAATTTGGGCCAAAATGAATTTTATATATATATATATATATATATATATTTAAAAAAAATCTATATAAGAACAGTATATACATCAATCAATACACATGTAAAACTGAATCAAACTAACCTTCAATTTATGAATTTCTTCTACAGGTATGCAAAAGAGACGAATAAAAAAACAAAGGAATTAGAGAAAAATTAACCTTGAATTAAACTTTTGGAATCGATTTAGTCAAACTTTGAACTGAGCTTCTGGAATCGATGCGAATCAAAGCCCTCGAAGGAAGAGAACTAACCTTAAATAAACACATTTTTAGGGTCGCTTTCATGTATCGATGTATCATTTCATATGAGAAGCAATAGATCAAAAGAATAGACAGGTAAAATACTAACCATCTGGTTTGTTGATTCCCATTCCAAATGCTACCTGTAGAAGAAGTATATGTTTCAAAATGATAGGCAGGATTTCTATAAAATTATTGGCAGGAAAATGCCATCTGTACATACCGTACCAACAATGACTTGCAACTTGCTATTGCTCCACCTGTTCCATAAAACATGTATAAGAGTCTCCAAAAAGCCAAATATGCCTTGATTACCATAATGACAAATAACTCAGCCTTCTACAATCATAATGGTTGCCAACTATGAATTATCAAAAAGTAGCAAACCAGCTTTGTAAATTCAAACAACTTTATGAAATGATTGATCAGTATCAGTGGGAAAAGAACGGAGTGGTACAGCACCTAGCCTGGAATGTGGTTAAAATTTAGGTTTACATAGCCTACATGAAAAGTGATAAATAAGTCATAAATATTAAAAGCCAAATTTTGAATTTATTAAATAAATATTAAATAAGTCAAAAATACTAATTTTCTTTTCATGACATTCTAAATTAATGTTGACACAACTTATGGTTTCAGTATATTGCATTGGGTTTTATTGTGTTTTAATGGAAACAAAAGAATTTTGGTATATATCAGATTTATATAATTCACAAACCAAAAGAGCATTTTTAGGAAGCACACTTCTAGAAATACACAGGCATAATAAACATTACAAAACAACAATGTGTTGTAGATAGGTTAGTACATTCCATTTTACTCAGAACATGAAAAATAGATGATAGGTTTACTGTCAAGACTTTAACTTAACTAAGTGCTTATTCCTATTTTTTTCCATTTAGGTATATAGTCCCTTCTTAGAAAAATCCAAGATTTGGTATTTCAAAGACTTGGTTTTGTAGAATTTCTCATATCACAATAACAAAATCAGTTTCTTGTCATCGATGTGAAGATAACACATTTCCAATCACAATCAAATGGTGAAAGCATTTTACATGATGCTCTTGCCATGCATCATTTGTCATGTCTACTAATTCACTTCTCAACACCTTGAGCACATATTGCTGCACCAACATTATCTGTAGTTGTGGCTAAAGAAATTGGGATATTTGCCTTCTTATTGTTCATCTTAGTATAATTCTAAATTCTAAAATTATAGAGAAAAATTAGAAACTTAACAAAAAAAACTTAATTCTAATTTTTATAGATAGGGATCTAAAAGTTGACCCAAATAAATGAATCTCAATAAAACAAATATACAAAAACCTGCCCATTATTAAAATTAAAAAAAAAAAAACCACAGTTGTTTTAAAAAAAGTTAATGACCAAAAATAGTATGTTTTTTTCATTTATTTCATTGAATTTCGCAAGTTTCAAACACTATAATGAAATATACAAATTGAACAAAATAAATATACTTAAAAAAAATCAAAATCACACTCATAATCATCATTTTCATTGATCTTGTTAAAATTCCACAAAATATAAAAATTTCAATGAAACCTGAAAATTGAACCAAAATAATAATTTCTGAAAATCCACACATAATCATCTCAGATGATTATAAAAAACTGTTAAAAAAACAGTCACAGCGGGCATCCATAGGATAGACAGATTTATTATGAGTGTGATGAAGAAACTTTAAAAATATACTACTTAAGGTCTTTTGATTTTTCTTCTTAAATTTTACTTGCAAGTATATTTGAACACTCCTGCAGATTTTGATTTCAAACATATACTTTCTTCTTAAATTTTACATGCAGGTATACTCAAACACTCCTGCAGATTTTGATTTCAAACTTGAAAGGTATATGTGGATAAAATTGAGTACTGTGTTCACTGAGAAATGTTTGTCTACCACCATCCTCTCCATCCTCTGTTTTTTAAACAATACAAACAAATACATGAATTATGTATGTATATACATAAATTATATCTATATATATCATCTAGCTTTCCAAAAGAGCACTAAATTATATCGTCTCTAGTAACATTTTACACAAAAAAATAAAAAAATTAACTTTTACTCATCTTCCCAAAACAATCCAAAAATACCCACTTAAATGTGTTTTATGTAGTGCTGGAAAGAACTAAACTATTCATTTATCAAAAGTAACACAACAATATTCATGATTTTTAGAATTATTCAATAATTTTTCAAGAAGGATATGGGTAAAATTGTATGAAGGCAGAAACAAAGACTAATAAATTTGTACAGTTAAAATCATATATAGAGATATAACTATATAATATGTATAACAATTGTATCAAACATGTTAGCTAAGAATTTGGATCATACTCTGCAGTTTCTGTTGTGCTACATAACTTGAAATCAACTTTAAAATTTTAAATAATAATAAATAAATAAATAAAAAGAGAGTAGAGTCCTAGGAGAAGCAAGAAGAAGACCAAGATGTAGTAGTGGTGGTGTTTGGGTTGTGGAGGCAAAGAAAGTTTCTCTTCGTGGTGGAGTAGAAGAGGCCATATTGGAGCCTGAACCAGACTATCTTTCGGATCTTTCTGGCGGATAGGAACCTGGACCAAACGACCCTCTTGACCCAGAAGAAAGAACCCTTGATCCTCTCTGCAACACTCTTCTTCCTGCAGAACTGGTAGCTCCTCAAGAACAGTTGCCTCTTCTCCATCTCCATAGAATAGATGAGGAGCAGAGAGATGAAAGGACTCCCGTATTTAGATATTGTAGAGGTGACCCTGTATTAAAGATTAGGGTAAAGATTAATAGTATTTTAACTAAAAGACTAAAGATTAGAGTAAAGATTATCTAAAAATTAAAGATTAGAGTAAAGCTTATTCAAAGATTACCCAAAGATAGAAATATAAATACAAAGAAAAAGCCCAAGTTTGATCACCTGAACCGTATGTATACCGGATTATTTCTTTGTTGAACACCATTGTTCCCTTTTGCAGCCCCATTGTTCCTCTTTTGCAACGGCTTCGTCGTCAATGGGGTTTGGGGCTGCCATTGCTGATGAAGATTGGGAGAGAGAGGAAGGAAGAGAGAAGATGATAAGAGGGAATGGGCTCCAACAGGGAAGGTTGGGCTCTGATGGAGAGAAGAGAGAGAGAGAGAAAGAGAGAGAGAGAGAGAGAGGGGCAGCGTGTTTTCAAAATTTGAAATCAAAAAGAGATAAATGGGTGAGACAAATTGAAGTGAGAGGCTATCTGTTGAAAATGAGAGACAAATGGGGCTCAGATATTTTGAACCCTTAGATTAAATCAATCTAATGGCCCAAATTTTGACACAGGTATAAGAGTCAAATCAGGATTTAAAAACCGAGCTTCCTTATTATATAGATGCCTTGCATGCTTATTCCATTTTGTCGCATGCTTGTACCATTGCATGATTTTTGCATGTTGTTGCATGCCGGGTATATTGTATGTATGCTTGTTTAGGTTGCATTGCATTTGGCATGCTTATTACCTTAGCCTTGAAAACATGTTTCAGTCATATTGCATTTGGCATGCTTATATTGCATTGAAATAGCTTTTCTATGTTCCATGCATTGCACTGTGTTTGGTTTGGGGTGTCAAACCAAACACGAGGAGCGAGGGACGTTTCGTACTTGAAGTGACGAAACGTGCCTCAATCCTTGATCACCGACACTCTTGATCCAACATGATAGAGTGTGAGGCATTCATGTGTTTTTGTGCATTCATTCCATATTGATTTGTGCAATTCGGCCTCTTTGGCCATCATGCATCGAGACGCATGATTGGTGGTCCGAGGGTCGAGAACTACACTCCTTTGAGTCTCAAACATGATAAAGGGTGTACCTGTAAACATTGTCTTGTAAATGCATTGCCACGCTCTGTTTGTCCTCTGCTGCAGCAAAAGAGCATTCTACAGGAATGGATGACCGATCAGCCATCTTCAGTGTCGGTCGGCTCCAAATGTCTGGCCGAGGACTTCATTTTTGGTCGATGACCACTTTCTCTTAGCCGATGACCATTATTTTTAGCTGATGGCTTCCCACAGTGCCCATGGGGTGAATCAAAAGTGTGTTGGGATTTCTCACACTTTGCAGAGGTATAGAGCAGTGCAAACAGAGGCAACATTAGCATGGCAACGGATTTCCGAGCGAAGCAAACCGAGCATGCACTTGTCCCTCTCCTCAAGGCTGCTTTACTGCTTTTGTAGCTTGATTTATTTGTTAATTAGTTAAGAGGTTTTGTAATAATTAATTATCTTGTTAGTTAGTTAATTAGTTGATTTGTATTATTCTTTCGGACCCTCGGTCGAGAGGACAAATTTTGTAATAAGTGTGCGTGAGTGTGTGAATGACTTCTAGCCCTACGTCTTTCTCCCTTTTACTTACCTGCTTTCGACGGTTAGTTCTAGGTCATATTTCAATTAGCATACCTTATGATAGCATGTTTGCATATATTCGTTCGTATTGCATGCACCAGGCTCGACGCATCATACTAACTGCATTGTATTTCAATTCCAAATTTGAATACATGTATCAAGTTGCATCTCACGTGCCATTTTAGAATAGTCGAGCCTATTTCTAGTTGCATTTTGCATGTGTTGCATTAGCCATCTTGACATGAGCTAGGATCATGCATTGATTACTAACTAGCTGTTGTTTTGGCTCGGAGAGTATCCTTGCATATGTGTTAGTGTTGCTATGACAGCATGCTTGCCATGAGGCTAATTGCTTATGTGATATAACTACCTGATTGCCTGTGGGTAAAGGTTGGATTACTTGAATTGGAACGATTCCTTGAATTGGAACGATTCCTTGAAATCCGTGTTTTAGCCTACTTGTGAGTAGAAAACTTCAAACCATTTCCAAACAAACGGATATGCGATGCTTTGTTCCAAATTAGGCAATCCAATCTATACTTGTTTGTTGTGCGCATCACATAGTAATTCTAGCTAATTAACTGGAATAAGAACGCATGTGTTTTCAAAAACAAGATATCATGGTTAGTACAGGCCGATCTTTGATCGAGCGAGGGGGGGTGCTCACTGCATGACCTTCCCCTCTCGTACCCAACTTCCTGAGCCGAGGCAACTTTGGTGATGACGAACACATAGCCTTAGGCACGAGTCAGGGTTTCCTAAATTCCCCCAAAATAAAATATTTAGGTGGCGACTCTGTATCTGGCAAAGCAGTCCATGTTTGGCACTTCTTTCTTAAAAATCAGTTTTCCAAAATGATTTTCTAGATTTGGACTCTTTGGTGATTTATCGGTCTTGAATCGCACTTTGCGAGATTAGATTCAGAACCGTGACATTGAGTCCAAACTGTAGTAGCTAGAGAACAAAACGAGATTTCCTCGGGAGTTCTCCGGGCACCTCTATGAACCAAAGTGTGTAAGTTCAATAAATGCAACAACTAAGACTCTTAAACCCCCTCCCTATCATGGATTGATCAAGGGAAGTTGTTGACAATGACTCTTGAACCATTTACATCACTAATGAGTATGAAATGACTCAAGACTCAAGGGTTCAATTAACGTTCGATTGAATCCAAACTAGGTTATTATCTTGCATCATTTTAGTCCAAGTTTTATTATTCCATTTTAATTACCTTTCCATCCTTTAATACATTAAGTCCAAAGATGAGCTTTAAGTCCTCTAATGGAAAGAGCCATCAAACCAAGAGTTGTTTTAGGCATGAGAGAAGTGTCATGCTGTTGGTAATTAACCCCCAAAGGGATTAAACCATTAAGCATAAGACCTCAATCTCATGCTTTGAACAAGCAACTAGTTTGAACCAACTTTCAAAGCAAAACAAAAGCCAAGAAAGGATGGAGGTTGCAGAAAACAAGTATGGAAAGCCTTAAATAAATGCTATCAACTCAAATAGGATGGTGTCTAAGGCCTAAACCATCAAACATATAAGGACAACTACACTACAAGCATGCAATACAAGACTCAAATGCAATGAACACTTAGAAGTAGTCCTAAAATAGTGCTAAATAAGTCCCAAAACATGCTGAAATTAAGACAAAAATAGCTAGAACAATAAGCTAAAACATAGAGCTTGCTAGGCTAGTAAGCATGACACAAGAAGGGGAGGCTAACCCCTCCAATTTTGGACTTCAAAACATGTTTTTAGCCATTGAAATAACTCTAAAAATTTGTGTTTAAAAGCTCAATAAAAGATATTGTAAAGATGGGAAACACAAGGGTAAAGGGCAAAAGAAGCAAAGTAGAAAAAGAGGTGAACCACCCCTCCACCCTTTAAGGCCTTAAACCACAAGTTTTAGCTCAAAAATACAGAGTTTATACAACCCAAAAATAGTGGAAAATAGATGGAAAACAGTAGAAGAAAAAGCAATTAAAGCAATGAAACAAACAAAGCCTTATACCTCTTGAAGAGAAGGACACTTTTAAGAAATAATTCAACACCCTCAAGAGCTCAAGTTAGGCTCAAAAACACCTTAGCTCAAAGATTAAAAGGTTTGCTTAAGAGTGTATAAGCTAAAGCTTAAGAAATTTCAAGAGAGAGAAAATTAATTTTGCTCTAATTTTTCTAACCATCAAAAATGGGAGAGGAGGTCCTATATTTATAGAAAAATAGGCCACTCCCTCAGAAACATCTATCCATACACGTAGGAGCAGATGCAAGCTTCTGTGCAAACAGTTGGTACAACTGGCAAAAACTATCTGCAAAACGCACTTGTGGCCGGCAAGCCACAAATGGTGGTCGGCAGGCCACCAATTCTGGCCGGCATGCCACACTCTTGGCCGGCAAGGCACAAGGGTGGTCGGCAGCTAAAAGGGATGGTCGACAGCCCACAAAAATGGCCCTGTAGGTCCCAAGTTTTTCAGGTTTGAAAGGCTGGGGGTTTGCTGCAAAAACAAGGCACAAGGTTTGCAGGGTTTTGAGGCTTAGAGTTATGGCATTCCGTTGAGGACTTTCGACCACTTAACAAGCATATACATTTATCATTGGGTGTGCAAGTGATAGTGCCCAAGTCGTAAGGGCGATCAAAAATAGGGTGTCTACACTGTGTAAGTGTTTGATAAATTTTTTGATAGAATATTTGGGATCTCTAGCATTTTTCTTTCTCACCTAAGTGAAAAAATCCAATCTTTTCATTTCTTTTCTCACCTCACGATTCAAACATAATGTTGAGTTTTAAATAATAGCCACAGGTATAACTATTGACATATATGTATTATTTACATGAAGCTCCATTTAATTACCTAATAAAAAAAAAATTGATGAATAGGATATGTTAACTCATATTTGTTAGCTAATTAAAGATAAATGATTATGTATCTAGTGTATTTGTTATTTTTCATTTGCTGAGAATACTATATTATTTTTTTTTGGATCGGCACAGACAATACTACATGATACTCCGATAATATCTCTTAGGTGGTGGCTCTGATAATATCTCTCATCAAGAAAGAAAAAATATTTATCAATGAACACTGAGAGCTTGAAAATTTCAAAACAAAAGAAGAACGATAAATCTATACTACATATAATTGCAAAACATTATAAGGTGTTTTCCTTTGAAAGTCTTAATTCTTTTTTCTCATTTTTTTGAATTGTCAAATATTAAATTATAAAACATTGTAAGGTGTTGGCCTTTGAAAGTCTTGATTCTTTTTTCTTAATTTTATGAATTATTAAATATTAAATATACAAGTGGCATAATGTTATTGGTTCATCTAACTATATATAATTTGAAATTTTAAAAATCTTTAAAACTATTAATCTAACTAATATCTCACTTGACATCATAAAAATTGAAATTTTGAAATTTTGAAAATCATATAGATGTTAATCATATCTAATTTGACATTTTCAAATTCCTTAAATAAAAAATATCAAAATGAAATTTAAGCCATATATATACTTTAACAAACTTTGAAAATATTTAAACTGCAACTTCAACAAGAATATGTAAAAAAAATGAAGTAAAAACCCTAAATACATTTTAAAATAAAACAATTATATGGAATTCTCCATTTACGAACATTTGCTTGCAATTATTTTTATTGTTTTTTATTTCATTTTTTTTCATGCTTTTTCTAAAAATAATGAAATGTTTGAAACTACATATTATTTCCTATCATTTTCATATTTGTGTGAAAATAGGTACTTTTCAAAA